ATTATGTATAGTATTTAAATATGTGCCTGAGAAACACATAATATTGGCCCTTTTAAAATACAACTTTAGGAAGAGGTTTGTGTTGAAGAATTTTATAACTTTCTCAAACAAAGCTGAGCCTGCAGCAGTAATATTAATGTTGAATCAGAAGCAAAGGAGGAAAATCCAACAAACGAGCTGCAGTTCTTTTACAGAAAGTTATTTCTAAACAAAAAAGTAATAATTTGTTCATCCACAACAAACATTTCTGCACACCACAGAGTGAAGCTGAGGTTTTTAAACCTGTTAGATCCTGTTTCGGCTCGTTAGCTTTTGAACTGAATTGATGAACGTGACTTAGGTACTGCTAAGTTCCCAAACACACCAGTAAATTCAGCTCATTTTCTRCTTCCTGTAACTTTTCCAGCTGGGACCGGTGCGATGACTCGCTTCCGCAAACCTGCAGAACATTTCATGATGGATGCAGCTCTCCTAACATTTGATTWGCTAAATATTTATTGGACCAAATAATGTGATCAGGATGAAATCTGTTGGGTTTTCTCTTTAATTTGCAGCGTCTAACAAGCAGCTTCAAACCAGGGAGGAGAAATTTATCGGAAAAACTACAAAAAACTAAGCAAAACTGGAACAAAGCAAAAAATACAAACTTATGCCAAATCTGTCCTCCTGAAGCTGCTGGGAAAATTATGTTTCTGCGAGTCACTTTTACAGCGATTTACCATCAAAAATCCTTCATAAAACACAGCCACAGACTCGTATTGATATTTAAAACACTGGTGCGGGGATTTTCCTTTGATCATCCTCAGCTGCGTGGAAGCATCAGATCTGGATCCAAACCATTCATAAAAACCAGGCGGAAATGTTCGTCACTTGTGTCGGTCTCACCCCCCACCCCCCTTCACATTCAGAGGTTGAGGAGGAGGGTGAATGACCCAGTTCTGCAGGAACACTTGGTTCCGGCTCGCTGCGTGTTGGTGTGAAAGTGTCCGAGTGAGTGATTGACAGACAGGAGGAGGACACTCGGAACACAAAGTGCTGATGTGATGATGAAACATCAGAAACCCAACGAGCAGCTGCTCTGCAAAACAAAACTGAACCTAAGATTTGATATTCTAACCGCAGAACACCCAGACGCTACATTGTGTTTAAAAGTTTTTAGGTGCCGTGGCTTTTTTTTTCAAGAAAATAAAAGTTTTTGTTCTCTGTTGCAGAAAAATGTCGCAAAAAATGCTGGAAAATTAAGATTTCACAAATTATTTCTGGGATTGCCGTGTCGCGTTTTTTGTCCAGCTTCTGATTTCTGCTGACAGGCTCGGAGCGAAAAGCTTTGGTTTGCTCCCAGGACCCGTTTGTGTTTCTAAAAGTTCGTCAGCAGTTGATTTGTTTGCGAGCAGGAAGTGCCGCCGTCTGTGCCGGTCGGCTTTCATCGCACCGGTACCGGCACTGACCACCTACGCTCTATCTCTGCTATCTGACAGGCTAACTGGGGTCTTCGTGACTCATCCTTTTTCACCAGAGGCTCTGTGTTCTGAGGAGAACTTAGCAGGACTAAGAAAGAAATCTGTATTTAGGGGTGACTTCCTGTTATCTTCATGTCACTCAGTAAACAAAGAGCCTGCGAGTTCTGATCAACACTTACTTAATAAACCTGAACGCCTCCAGATAAAATCCAGTTTTAGTTGCAGTTTGAGCTGTTTTGGGAACAAAGAACTATTTCTAAGCGGATCCTCTTTTGTTCAAGTGGCAGTTTTGATCTGAGTGAGTGTTTTTTTTTTTTTTTAATCCTTAAAAAACTGGACTTTTTGTTATTTGATGATCCCACCCACACCCTGTGAGTGACGCCGCAGCCCACTCGCTCCCAGCAGGTCCTGCCCACCCGTCGTTTCTCCTCCACATCAGCTCGCTCAGGTTGAACCCGCCTGACTTTACCTGGGCTTTCAGGACTCGTTTATGTGCCGACGCTGCCGAATGGAAATCAGGACGTGTTTATGTAACGGAGCTGCTGTATAATGCATGCAGGAAGTGGAAGTGGTGCACCAGCTGAGAGCTTCTCTCATGTTTCTGCTTCATGTTGGATCAACCAGAATCTTCTCCTCCAGCTAACTTTTACCCAGCTCCTTCATTATTCATCCAGATTTGTGAGCAGGGTTATTTTACGTAAAAAAAAAACTGTTTTAATAACTAAATCCATAATTTAAAGCTAAACCCTGAGTACAGCATGTTTAAAAAGTTGCAGGAATGCAACAATTTATTGTTAAAGTATTTATTCAAGTATAATACGTAAAATTAAATCCATAAATCATCCATAAAGTTGGGGGGTAGAACTATACTCGGATAAATATTTTTACTTATGTATTTTAACTGAAATATCGGCATCATTCACAAAATGCATGAGTCCAGAAATGAGACCGTCATAAAAAGCAGTTGAAACGAGCTCACCTCTGACACTCCTCCGTGCTTCAGAGCGAGATAACAGATCCAGGCAGGAGACATGATGTGAAAAAAATGGGGAAAAAGTATTCCTGCACCTTAGTAATGATAACAAACTAATGACATTAGCGTGTGACCGAGCCGCTCCTAGAACAACAACAAACACATGTTTGTCTGTAATGGCTGCCGTCTACCGGTGTTCTGAAAAAGTTTGTATCCTTGAAAAAATGTTTCCCCACMAGAGGGGGCGCTCGCGAGTAGGAAGTAATCTGCTTTTCCCCCACAAGATGGCCCAAATCTCATGTGAAGTCTCTGACTTTTGTGTTGGCGCCTCCTGGTGGACTATGTGTAAAATGCCAGAATTCATATGATGCTGCTACAGCTGATATATATTTGTTGTCTAAATACCTTTTAGTACATATGTTGTTAAAATAAAATGAACAGTCCAATGGCCATTTTACTGATATGAATAAAGACTGCAAAGGCTGAAAATCTTGAAGTCTGTATGGAATTGGAGGTAGTTTGAGGATTAAATTTTTTATGCTTTTTAAGCTCAAAAAGGGGGAGTCGTATTATACATGAATAAATACGGTAGTTATATAAGTTTGCAAACATGGTGAGAAAGAATTCATTGTGATTATTGGTGAAAATCTGCATTTTTCTTTCCAACAAAATGCACAAATTTGCAGCTGCAGTGTTTGCGATCATCCAGTTTTTAAAACGCACCACTTATTTCCTGTGCACAATGTTTCGTAGCCCGCTTTGTTCCCACCTCTGCAGCCCACCTCCACATTTATGATTTAATCAGCTGGAGTGCACTTTAGAGATGAAGATGGGCTGATTCAGTTTTATAAAAATTATTCATCAGCGTTGTTTTCTGCTTTAGCTCCAGCTCTCTGGAGACGTCTGACTTTTACTCTTTCTAGAGAAAAGTTGTCAGAGGGGATCATCAGCCTCCACCCCCCACCTGATGTGTTCAAATAAAAGGAGATCCCAGTTTTGTTAAATGACCCACTTCTCCCCTCTTCTTCCTTCCAGGGTAAGGAGCTTTTATCCCAGAAGATCCCGATGTGGCAGCAGGCGTGCGCCGAGCCCAACAAGCTTCCGGACCGGGCCATGTACCTGGCCCAGCAGATGAGCGGTGCAGCCGGGACCCTGCCCGCCGGCGCTCACCACCCCGCCATCTCCGAGCCCATCCCCGGCGCCAAACCGCTGCCCGTGCCTCCGGAGCTGGTGGCCTTCAGGGGCCAGCAGGTCAGTTCTTCAGGAAAATCTATCCTGAGAAAAATACTTTAGATTTGAGTTTTAGGAGCAAAATGTAATAAAGAAACTTGAGTGTGCATAAATATGTGGGAAAATATGAGATCAAAAAAGAAAATGACCGTTTCCTGCAGATGAAAGATGGGCACAGATTGATGTTCAGGATGTGGAAATTGAAAATGTGATTTCTTTGTTTTTAATAAGAAAATGTTTGCAGTTTGTTTTGTTATTTGATTGTTTTTGTGTTTTGTTTCCTCCCACCGAAGCTCAGAGGAGTTGTAGAGCCGTGTGAGCAGAGGTGGAACGGGTCTGACTCATCACTTAGTTTGTGCAGGAACTGAGTGCATATATGGATGCAGGGGATTTATTAGAAACAGGTTTTCTGCTGTCTGAAATTGACTTTAAAGTAAATGAATAAAAAAAGCAGTCAAAGGGACTTAATGAGACCYATAATCAGATTTTTAGAGGTTTTGGTGCATGGAAGCATTAAAAACCTTGCTTTTCTTGTACCAAAGATGCTTTAAATGTGCTTGTWTACTGATAGTTTGAGATTCTGTTTAAAAACAGATCTGAACATCTCCCACTGGCTTCTCTCGTTTGTCCTTAAAGCAGCAAACGAGGCAACTTTTATTAACGAGCACTTTCTGACCCAGATCCGCTCTCAGCCTTCGTTAACGGTTAACGAGCCGCAGGAAGTTATGTAACAGCCTCGGCTGACGGAGTCGTGTCTTCCCGCTCGCAGAGGCTGATGGGGGGCGTGGACGGAGCCATGCCGGCGATGAACGGCGCCGCCGGTGGAGAGGACTACCAGCAGTGGGTGGAGGGGAAGGTGGCCAAGGCCAAGGCCTCGCCGCAGAGCCWGCGGCACGGAGCCGAGGTCTACTCCAACACCCTGCCTGTGCGCAAGGCGGCCCCCGCCAAGAGCAAAACCACACTGCGTAAGAACACACATTGTTTTTTTTCCTTCAACAGGCTAGTGAACACTGCAGGTTTTCACCAAGCAAAGATCAGGATGAAAGCCTCTTTAAAGGATTAGATGGGTGGAAGTGTAAAGGTTTAAAGCTTCTTTGAGCTAATTGTTTGGGTTGTGCAACACTTCCAGAGCTTTAGCTCAGTCCTGGAGCTCTCATTAACATGACAGCCTTAAACATATCCAGCCAACCTGTGGCTTTAAACCAGGGATCTGCAGCCTGGCCGAGAACCTCCACAGAGGCTCCACGCAACTCTGACTTTAAACAACATGAACGTCAGTTTTAGCAGAAAACTTTCTGCAACATGGGTGTAAAATTTCTGCAAGGATGTTTTTCTGGCTGCATGGTCAGTTAGYTTTTAACAGGAATAAGTAAACACATCAGTTTTTCTGCTGTAAATGTTTTGTGTGCACAGCTTCCATGGTTTTAGTGCCTGAACTATTTTGTTTTTTATTTAGGATTTCTCAATAACAGCCATTAGTTTTAATAAGAGATCCAAGTGGAATAAAAAAGTTTGATTTAAAAAAAAATGAAGGGGTGGTTTCTGTGTTCCCAGTGGAGACCCGGACCCTGCCCCGCTCCAGCTCCATGGCCGCAGGTCTGGAGAGGAACGGACGAACCCGAGTCCAGGCCATCTTCTCCCACGCGGCGGGCGACAACAGCACGCTGCTCAGCTTCTCCGAGGGCGACGTGATCACCCTGCTGGTGCCCGAGGCCCGCGACGGCTGGCACTACGGGGAGAGTGAGAAGACCAGGATGTGAGTCCAGTTTGGGGTTTTTCTAGTTCTTTTTTTGTTTTGTTTTGTTTTGTTTTGTTTTTTTTTAGCAGAGAGATGAGCTGTGTGACACGGTTTGTGTGTGTTGCTACAGGCGGGGCTGGTTTCCCTTCTCCTACACCCAGGTGATCTCTGAGGCTGACGGAGGMACCATGAGGCAACTCCGAGTTCACAAGTAGGTGTACCACTCTCTGGAGACAGTTTACTTTGTTTTCTAAGTWTAAAACACTAAAACATGCAACAGTCATGGAGGAAACTTTAAAATAAAAAGTCATAAATGCAGGGGTTCTCAAGCCATTTGGGTTTGGGGACCCATTTACAAGGTCGAAAAAAAATTCCAGGGACCCCCTCATAAACCAAATGCTGTTTTAAAAGATAATTTATTGTCAGTTCAACCCCTAAATGCCATGGGAATATAAATTTTTATTAGGCTTATTATGTTTGTTTTATTAGTTCATTGTTCTCCATGCATTTTTAAAAATAAAAACCAAAATAACATTTTAGTAAAAAATTTTGAGGACCCCCAAGATACCTTTCACGGACCCCTTGGGGTCAAGGAACCCCGTTCTGAGAACCTCTGCTTTAAAGGACCTGTTACATTAATTTTTTTCTAACAATTATGAATGTGTTTGTGGAAATATAACACTGCTAACATGTTGCAAAAAATTCATGCAGCTGAGATGAACCGTTGTTGAGATATTTGCATGTAAAGTAACAGGAAGTGATGTCATGAKGGGAACATGCTACGATCGCTAACACAGACTGTAAAGAATCTGATGTTTATTTAGATTATTTTCAGTCACTATCCGAGAAATGAAGAAGAGTCAAATAATATTGTTTGAATAAACAAAGAACAGGAAGTTCCTTTTTTTTTGTAAATAGCTCCCCTTTGATGTCACTTCCTGTTTTACTTTGGCCGAGCCCAGATCAAAATAAAATAYGCAGTTATGTGACAAAATGGGTAAAATCATGTGTATTCTGCCATGTTTTTTGAATATGAAGATGTTTTCTTGGATTTGTTGTAAATTTTGAAGGGTATGCACRTCACATGCATTTTACAGAAGTTCTCAACCTGAAGCGTTGGATTCTCCCGCAGGTGAYGACGTGTGTGTGGTCTCTTATTTTTTGTCCCTGTGTGTCCTCAGCCTCCACCACGGGAAAAGCAGCAGCACAGGAAACCTTCTGGAGAGAGAGGACATGGCTCTGCCCGCCCCGGACTACAGCGTCCACTCCCGCATGGCTGCGCAGAGCGCAGCGGCGTCTCTGCACGGCCGACAGCAGCGCCCCTACAGCGTGGCTGTGCCAGGCTTCTCACAGGTACGGGGGGGTCACCGTGGAGCTAGTCATTAGACGGCGGCTCTGCTCTGACAGGCCGGGCTGCCAGTCTTTCAGAACCTCTCAGGTGTGTTTGCAACATTCAGTAGCTGAGTTTCCATTGACCATGAAAATGCGCAAATTAGAATTTCGAAAATAAATTTGCTCAATGGAAACACGTCAGTTTCGGAAAAAATTACGTTTTTCGACAAAATGTTTTTGCGCTAGGATGATGAGGTGGTTTTTCGGCCGTATCGAAATTGGTGTTTTTCGCAAAACTGCAATGGAAACACTTTTTTCGCATCACGGGAGTCACGTGATTAACAACTGGCTGTTTCTACTGGTGAAAAAGACGATGACGAAGAAGATAACAGGAAGTAGTAGTAGTAGTAATATCACAGTAGTARTAAAAGAAAGTAGTAAACTCACGGACTACAATTTTCCAAAAACACAGCATACGTAGCCGCTCCCAAGTATGGGCTTCGCTAGAAAGCCTCAATAAAAGACGCCGACGTCTCCTCTGATGATGAGYGCTAGTGTCGTGGTAGCAACATGCTATGTGTTTACATCCATCGCCGCCATGTTTGTAATGACTTATCACGAGAACAAAYGTATTCACGCGTGACTTTAAAAGCATTTCTTACTTAATGGAAACACCACAGTRTTTTTTCGACATTAACAGAATATCGACAAAGTTTTGCGGACATTTGCAATGGAAACGCAGCTACTGACATGAAAGCAGAAATCCATTCTGCTCYGTTGCTCTTGGCGGAGCTCAGCGGTTTGAGTCCACCTCTGAGGGGAAAAAGCTTCCGACGCATTCACCCGGCTGTCTGATGAGGACGAGCTGAATTTTTTCAGAAGCAAAACAAGTCTTATGAAACAGTAAACCCTGTTTTCCTCCTACGCCTCACCTAGAAATGAACATGTGGGCGACGTTGATTTGCGCAGCAGTTAAACTGCTCTCTGTGCCTCGCAGCAGTGAGGGGCTCGTCGTTTCATCACCGGGCSTTCAGAAGACACCAGCCGCTGCAGCTTTACAAATCGCTGTAAAATCAAACTTGAGGCTGTGTTGATTGAAATCATCAAGCACAATCCATTACTCACGCAGAAGAACCTCCTCCTACAAAGATATTTTTAATTTCAAATGAAACAGTGTAGAAAWTTTTGAGCCGTCTCACACTTAGATGTAGAAATTTAGCCTTAAGCAAAAGATTTATGCTGGAATTAAACTAAAGATTTAAACAAAAAATGTTGCATGATCCATTTGCTCTCAGAGTGTRTTGGGATGACTTTTAAAAYATTGTATGCAGCCATAAATGGAASGAATCTGGATCTTTTTATAAAAACTGATGAACTGCGCCTTATTTAACCGAACTCTACAGTTCAATCGATTCGCATCTTATCGATCATTTTCAGTTTAATCACTCAGAACTGGTTTCTGCTGACAGGGTGCAGATTCTGTCTCTGCTKCCCCCTGCTGGCTGCTCTCATTATTGCAACAGTTTAATGCGTTTCAGAGCATCTTTATTAGTTTTATAATAAACTGCCSCACCTGACATCTTTCTCTCTCTTTTTATTGTTTTTGCAGCAGGGAGTTGAAGAGTATGAACCTCGCTTCCCCACAAGGTAAGAGTTTATTTTAGCTGCTGTTTTWCTTTTGTCTGAGGACTGAACTCGTMCTGTTGGCTGGGGGGATTATAATCTGTATAAACAGGAAGTTTTTCTATTAAAGCTAGAATAATCTGACACAGCTGATATGAGGGACAGGTCAGTCAATCAGAACACATCATGCCTTTTTGATGTTTTGTTTGTTTTGTTTCCATCATGTTTTGTTACCTTACTGTCTTTAATGCCAACATCTGGAGAAACCCTCTAATTTGATTGGTTGTTAGCTGTTAAATTTTTATTTGGAGAATCTAATAAGTGAAACTTCAGGCTGCAGTGGATATGTTGACGTTAAAAATAAAATACAAATAAAATCAGGATGGTGAGAAGCTGCTCAGCCTTCAGACTGCTTATTGGTCATTTTAAAACATTTAGTAAAAATAACTTCCTGCGGTGATGTCAGCTGTCTCACATCTGAAATAATTGACTAACAATAAGCTTTGTCAGTTTATAAAAACATCCTGTGGTTAATTCCAACACATTGTCTGATTTAACGACTTCCTCGTGTTTTTGAGGATCTAAACCATCAGTTTCTGCCGTGAAGTCAGGTGGTTCTGAGATGAGGCATTTTCTATTTTAAATCCAACGTTTAATAAAAACTCCTGTTCTGCCAGCGACACAGAAACTTCTGGAGTAAATATTTCCGATAGTTTTGTAAGTAATTTATTTAAGAATTGCATTACTGCATCAGTTTTCCTTCAGATTCAGATCTGTGAGGGTTCCCAAAGTAAGGGTCACAACCCCACTGAGGGTCACAAAGCACCAAGTTTGAGGCGTCCTGCTTTGATCTCCAGAAATTAAACAAAATTTAAAGATAATTACTTTTAGCATTATTTAATGCTAATTTAACAAAGGTTTTCTGTTTTAAACTGGTTCATTGTGTAACTCTGGTAAACACTCGTGTCCATTTAACACGTGCTGCTGCTGTTTTTAAGTTCCTTTTAAGTTTTCTTTGGTTAATTTCTTTTATATTTTATCATCACCTCACAGCCTCCATTCAGTCTGTGTTGTTTTTTTTATCTGCTGCACCTCCTCCTCCTCCACCTCCCCCTCCTCCACCTCCATCCCTGCTTTATCCTCTCCATCCTCCAAAACACAGCACAGATCAGAGTACAGAAGGTACAGACTTGGGGGCGGGGTTACAGTCAGGTGCAGTCTTGGGGGCGGGGTTACAGTCAGGTGCAGACTTGGGGGCGGGGTTACAGTCAGATGCAGACTTGGGGCGGGGTTACAGTCAGATGCAGACTTGGGGCGGGGTTACAGTCAGGTGCAGACTTGGGGCGGGGTTACAGTCAGGTGCAGACTTGGGGCGGGGTTACAGTCAGGTGCAGAC